GGCCATTTTTTGGTTGCAGCCATCGTTGTTTGGCGGGCCCAGGCTGGGGATTCGAACCCGCCACCTTAGGTGTATGTGGCTGGCGCCTTAGCTGCTTGAGCCACAGGCGCTGAGCCTGATTTAAACTCTTGTAGAGGACAGCAGGCACAAAGCACCAAAAGAGGCAGGACAAGCATCGCAGAGGCAGAGGCTGCTTCTGGGTGGCTGCCGACAAGGCTCCAACACTCAGAGACCAAGACCAGCAGGCATCTTCTGGGAACTCTCTGACCTAGGCACCTCTGTGGTTTGAAAGAATCTACTAGTTTATAAGAAATGAGCCATCAGACTACCATGGCATTACCTGCTGGTCCTTCACAGTGTCCACCATCCCAGGATGCCTGCCCTGCCTGGCACAACTTCATCCAACAACGACTTAGTGAGTTTTTTTTTTTTTAATTGCAGTTTTTGGCTGGGGCTAGGTTGGAACCCATCACCTCCAGCATGGCCGTGATTATTTTTGAGTGTCCAGTCTGCTTTAACTGTGTGTCACCCATTCTTCAATGTCAGAGTAGCCATCTTGTTTTGACCAACTGTCACCCACATGTTGTCCATCTTGTTGGGGCCATTTGGGTCCATTTGCAACTTAGCTATGGAGAAAGTAGCCAATTTATTACTTCTTCCTTGTAAATATGCCTCTTCTGGATGTGAAATAACTTGGCCACCCATGGATAAAGCAGACAACAAGAGCTCTATGAATTTAGGCCTTACTCCTGTCCGTGCCCTGGTGCTTCCTGTAAATGGCAAGGCTTCTGGATGCCGTCGCAACTCATCTAATGCATCAGGATAAGTCCATTACAACCCTGCCATGGGAAGATAAAGTTTTCCTTGCTACAAACATTAATCTTCTTGGTGCTGTTGACTGGGTGATTATGCTGTCCTCTTTTGGCTTAGTCTTGGAGAAACAGGAAAAATATGATGGTCGTCAGCAGTTCTTCGCAATTGTACAGTGATAGGAACACGCAAGCAAACTAGAAATTTTGCTTACCGTCTTGAGCTAAATGGTCATAGATGGCATTTGACTTGGGAAGCAACTCCTCAGTCTATTCAGGAGAGAATTGCGACAGCTATTATGAATAGTGACTGCCTAGTTGTTGATACCAGCATTGCACAGCTTTTTGCAGAAAATGGCAATTTAGGCATCAGTGTAACTGTTTCCATGTGTTGAAATGGCAATCAGACATTTTCTGGCCATTGTTTAAGACTATCGCATTCAGTTTCACAGAAAATAAGGCACCCATTTGCCTGCCAGCCTGAAACTCTTGTGGTGGGTGGAGGGAGATACTTGAAGGTAAATAAAATAAAGCCTGTTAAATATAGGAAGCAGTTGCATGTAGTAACACTAATATATTTAAAAATAAGTCAACAGTAAACTACTGGGAAAAAAAAAAAAAATATATATATATATAG